TAGGTATTGGGAACGGACTCCCAAAGAACTAAAGAAAAATAAGCTAGAAACGGAAGGTTGTTAAAGGAACCGGATAGTAAGCGGCTTCCAAAAACAACCAAGCAAACTAATGTACCTAGCTAACTAGAACCATATACAAGGCTCAACAGACATTCAAAAATGAGCCGAGTAGAGAACCAAGCCCTAGCTAGCAGGCCGCTAAGCCATGCTAAAACGAGTGAACAAAAACTAGCCGTAAATGAAAGCTCGCCCCTAGAAAGCCAACCGAGGCTATCAAAGTCGAAGGCTCAAAATAGAAGATCCGTTCAAAAAGCTTGACGAGCGATGAACCGACCAAACCAGAAGGTTTAACACCCCGGCAAAGGGACTCGGTGAAGCCACTAGGCAAAAGCGATAGGGGCCTCCTCATGAAAGTGGAGAATCATAAAGAAGAGAATCCGGAACTCGCCTAAAGGCCTTATCGATAGAGCAAGGCGGGGAGGCCTCGAAGGTTCGCTTATTGCACTTCACCCAAATAATATACACTCGTGACCCCCAATGAGACTCGACACATCTTAGCTTCCAAATTTTTCCTCCGAGTGAGGAGGCCTCTCAAAGCACTTGGAGAGGGTGGACATATGTCACCGGATACCCAACCAAAGTCCGATCTTAGCCCACAAAGCAGAGGTCCAAGAGCACTCGAAGAAGAGATGACTATGTGATTCTAGCCCGGCCCTACAGAGAGCACGAGTGAGTGTCGGCCGGAACATAGGACGGACGATCAATAGTTTTGAGCTTTCCTCGAACCATAAGCCAAAGAATGAGCGAATTCCGCAGCAATGCCCAAGGCTCCCAAACTCCCCGAGCCCAGTCGACGGGATCACCATGAGGCTAAAGATTATCATAAGCATTGCGGGTGAAAGTGCCGAGGCGCCAAGACTCCGGTTGGCCAATCACTAGCCCCAAGTCCCTAAATTTCCTAACCGGATTGTCTCTAATCGATAAAATAGATTTCCACATTGGCGAAGCCATGCGGTGAGCTTTTGCCTCCCATACACACTCGGTCTTGCAAGTAAAAGTGGTAAATCCATTGAATCTAGATAGAGTCCGCTTTTGGTGTATATTCCGAGTTGCTTAACAAGGAAGCAAGAGTTGAGGACTGCGAAATCCTAAAGGCCGAGATCTCCTTCCATTTTAGGGTAGTGAGTCGTCGCCGAGCAACGAGAGCTAAGTGGCTTTTATTCACATCCCTAGTCTATAAGAAGTTCCCGCATATACTAGTAATGCGAGACATAACCGAAGCGAGGAATCGGGAAGAGGCCAAGTTAGAACCGAATTAACCCGACCAAGACGGATGCCAAAAGCTCAAGTTTGCTAGTATAGGAAAGATGCTTACCCGACCATGATTGAATTGCAAACTCTAGGCGGTTTAGCCGAGGCGAGAATTGACTAGCCAAAAATTGGTGGGGGCTCGGGGAAATCCCAAGGTAACGAAAAGGAAAGACACCTTCCGAGAAACCGAGTATCTCATAGTAGGTCTAGCTCGAGGTCGTTGCCGACCCCCCAAAATAAATGGAGGATTTAGCGGGATTGACATGGAGCCTAGAGGTGCAACCAAAAGTCCGAAGCTCGTTGAGCCAAACTTATAACCGAAGCCCTATCTCCACGACTCAAAAGCATAACATCTTCGAGCAAAGGCAATGTGTGTAATTCGGTGAGGCTCACGCTCGGGGTGGAAGCAAAAGCCGGCAGTAGATGAAAGTTGCTAGAGCATTCGAGAAAAATATTCCATGCATGCAATGAATAAGTAGGGGGAAAGGGGATCACCTTGCCGAATGCTCGCTTTTCCGGAAAGAACCCAAAGAGGTTACCGTTAGCGACGAATGGAGTAAGAGGAGGACTCAATGCATGCCATAACCCGATGGGTGAAGAGATTAGGGAAGCCAAGCTACACCAGAAGGCTTCATAAGAAAGACCACCGCACAGAGTCAAAAGCCTTCCAAAAATCAACCTTTAGAAGGCATCGAGGAGAGGCTCGCTTACGCCCATACTCGCCGAAGAAGCTCCCGAAGAAGATGTATGTTGTTCGACATCCGTCCGCCCCTAAGAAGTCATTTTCCAAGGGACCTACAAGATCTTTTAGAGCGAAGGCTAATAGGAAGGAGAGAATCTTGGAGATCACCTTGCACACAATGTTGCAACAAGAGATAGGCCTATAATCCGAGGGAGTAGGAGTATGGGCTGATTTGGGCACTAAGGCAACAACCGAATGATTAATCTATTTAAGGAGTTTCCACGAAGTGAAGAAGTCTTTAACCGCAAAGACAAAAATCAGCCCCAACAATACCCTAAGCTCTTTTGAAGAACAACGAAGTGAACCCATCGGGACCGGATGCTTTGTCATTATCTATCCCAAACAAAGTCTCCTTAATGTGATCATTAGAGATAGGGGCAAGCAATAATTTAGAAACTACCGGTTTAAGACAAGGCCTCATATCTACCACCGAAGCATCAAAGGGAAGTGTGTCTTGAGAAGACCCAAGCAAATTCCGATAGTAGTCAACAAACACCGCCCTAACATCCAAGGGCGAAGTGGTAACTTTCCCAGTGAGGCCTTAGATGGAGGCAATGAAGTTGTGCTTGTGACGTTGGCTCATAAGGGTATGAAAGTACCGATCGCCCTTATCACTCTCCTCAAGGAATTTGCATTTGAGCTTTTGGCTAAAGAACATCTTCTCCGCTAATTTTAGACAAGCCAAGTTCTGCCGCGAGAGATGCTCTTGCTCAAGAAGAGGGGACCGTCTCGATCAAGCCGGAGAGACTGCCGGAGGTTATCGAGAGCAACAACGACATAAGAGACCTCCTCAAAGATATGGCTAAAGTGAACCGAATTCGAAGTTTCGGAGGCTATTTTAGAGCCTTCGACTTGCAAGCACAATAGATTCATCGGGCTACCCCTAGTGTGGCATCGCCGATAAAGCTCAACTGTCAAGAGAAAGCTATCATGTTGAGCTCACATATTGAAAAACTTGAAACATTTATGACCGAGAGCAGACAATCGAGCAAGATGTATCAAAGCATGAGCATGATCCGAGAATGCTCCGGAGGGTGGAAGTGAACAGAAATAGGCTACCGAAGGGTAGGCCGGTGAGGGTTAGCAAGGACTCGATCAATCTTTATCCAAACGCTATCACTATTCCAAGTGAAGTGACTACCCGAGTAATTGAGGTCACTAAGGCCCAGTGTCTAAACAACAAAAGCAAAAGTCGAAGTCTCGTAGGCCGTGACATTAACCCTATTGTGCTTATCATCCATAGAGAGAACCGAGTTAAAGTGGCCTAAGACAATCCATGGGCTATTGGTGTGCCATCTACGGAGGTCGGCATAAAGCTTCCGTCTCCGAATAATAGTGTTATAACCATAGACAAAAGTAGCATGAAAGGCCAACTAGAGAACAAGGATCTTTATCTTTAAATGCAACCCACGAGCCGAGGCATCCAAAATATCAAGTTGAACCGTATCCGGGTTCCAAAATAAGACAATCCGGCCATTAGCATCGCCAACGCTTTAGCCGAAGCTTGTCATTTGCAAAATCTTCGGGAGGCTAAGCTTCGTTTCAACTAGAGCACAAACATCCATACTTTCTTTTCTCATGATTGAGACCCCTAACATTCCAAGCAAAGATTAACATAGGGCGTTGGAAAAGGTGGAGAGCCCCTACCCCTCTACGAGCGCCACGACTTCGCCGCGAGTGGAAGCCACATGAGAACTCGACGGAACCCCATTAGATAATAGTTCGACCCTAATAACCATGTTGGCCCTATCTTCGCCGGCATCAAGGCTACTAACAAGCCCATCCATGCTAGTGAGGTGCCCACTGTGGCTATCAATCCCAACCCCGGTGCAAGCCGGTCTACATAGGCCATTCCGCGCCACACTAAGTGAAACCGAAGCCGTACCATACCCGGGTCCCCAACGATCATTACTTACAAAATCAATGAGGCTTGCCTTGTTGGTAGGTTCCAAAGTGGCTCCCCGAGCCGCCCGAGTAGCCGGCCTAGGCGGGACTGGTTGCGTCTAGGTAGGAGTGTTTCCTCGATGCCGAGCATTCTATCGGGCCTTGCCGTTGGCCCCGCCTTTAACCATCTCCCACTCCCCAAAGCTAATAACTACCTTTGAACACATTGGGTCATCTTGAACGGCGCGAACCAAGGCATCCCGAGGGTAGCAACAACGAGCCCCTACTCGTGGAGGGACATTGGCACTCGGCTCGATCCGAGTAGCCATTGGCGGGAGGCACCTAGCCATCGGACGAGCGCTTGGCACAATTGGCGGTCGAATGCCCCGAACACGACGGACCTTGCAATAAGTGGCCGGTGTTTCATAAATGACCAACCGAAGCGAGCATGGAACCATTCGGAAGCCCAATGTTGACCACTTGCGGCAAAGCCTCCATGATATTCAACTCAACCAAGACCTTGGCATAGGATATCCGTTCCATGGAGGTCGTTAAGCGATCACATTGAATGGGCTTGCCAAGAACACTAGCAATTTTAGAGAGGCATAACAGGGACCGGCATTTAAGAGGAAGGTTTAAAAACTTCGACCAAATTGGCACCGTAGACATTTCCTCGTTGGAGAAGTCAAAAAATTCAAGCATAAGCTTCAAGAGTAACTGGTCGCAGAAGATCAAGTATGGTCCCCTATTAAGCATAGAAGATTTAGCCTCCTCGGATTCAAATTTATAGACCAACCAACTAGAATCATGGATGGACAAGGAGGCCTCACATTTCCAATGAGTAGCGATAATTCCGTTCGGCGCCCTATAACCAGGGGACTTGCCGACCACATAACCAACCAAACATTTCTTTCATTAATTCACATTTAGGATCATCATCAAGTAATGTGCATGATTTAGAGGCAATTATAGCGAGTGAAATGTGTAAGCTTCGGATAAGAATCCGCACTATGATTGTTAGCAAATAAGGCCCTCTATTTTCCAAGAGGGTGTTTAGAGTTACCTAGAGGAGCAGGGGGAGGGGAAGCCGATCTGGGCCTTTGATTAGGGTAGTCCAAGCCAACGAAGGGGAGGAAGATGAGTTGGAGTGGGAGGAGGAGCTCGGCTTCCGATAGTTGAAGTCTCGGCTCGAAGGTTGGTGTTCAAGTGTCGAGTCCCTTTGAGTGGGAAGACCATTTTTGAATTTCATTAGGCGGAAAGTTGAATTACCAGCCAGGTCGAAGCTCGTGGAGGAAGAAGTAGCTTCCCCGAAGCGAAGAAGAGGGCAAGCTAGGCCTATGGAGAGCCAATAAGAAGGAAGGCTAGCCTAGCAAACTAGGTTTAGATAAGGGAGGATCCCGCATGACAAAAAGAAGGGGCACGGTAGTGGCCAAGGAACACAACAACCTCTCGAGGAAGGGAAGAAGCCAAGCTTGGAGATGACGAGCATCGGGTGGGAGGAGCCTTTGCCCAAAGCTAAGGAGCTACAATGAGAGGCATGACCGAGTCGTAGAACCGAAACGAGAAGTAAGAGACGTGACCTATCTACGAGGGAGGCTTGGCCGGGGCTTAGCGCCCGAAGTGGAAGGCAAGATACGACGAGTAACCACACCAAGAGGAGCAAGCATCGACCTGCGGGGCCGCTCGTGAAGACACTAGCGAGCACTAATAGAAGAGTATGAAGACCCCCATAGAAGAAGCGACCAAGCTCGACGCCCCTACCAAGAGGAGTAGGCGGTAGAAACGAGTACCAATAAGCGAGCCTATGGAGCAAAGGCAACAATGATAAGCCCAAACGGAGGCGGGACAACGAGAACAAGAGACTAGAGGTTGAACCAATAACTAAGCATATACAAAATTAGACTTAACCTCTCGATTAAAGGCAGAAACCCAAGCTGGAAAGAATACTAGTCGATCGCTAGGAGAGGCTAGGCCGGCCTCTGTTCGTTGAAGGGAAAGCCGAACATGGTAGGGAACCAAGCCCGGTGAAGCCCACCCGGACTATGGGACAATAACCGAGGAGCACCCAAAGGAGAGCTACACTAACCGGACCCCTCCTACCAAGAGAAAAAGCCAACAAGGACAAAAGCACCGAGCATAGTCAAACCTCTTCTAATTCTAAGCCAACCCATAATTTTCAACCGGAGAGTCAGCGACCGATTACAAGAGAAGAAAAAATGGCTATGTGACTTATTAGCTTGGCCACAAAGAAGGCATACTTCACCGGTAGGGAGAAAGCGGAGATGATCTTGAGTTTTTAAGGCACGTCGAGAAGCAAGACATAGAATGAAGGCATGCCTCGGTAATTACCGGGACTCCCAAATCGCCCAATCCCATCTCACTCGTATCCCCTGTTGGTCTAACTCAAGCATATGCTATACGAGAAAAACATCCCTCACCCAAGTGCCATTGAGCTAGCTCTCTAATAGCTCCCTCTCTATTAAGATATTTTGCAACAAACAAGTCTTTCAAATCGATAATAGCTTTCCACAAAGGCAAAGCATTTCGGTGGGCTTCTACATCCCACACTCGACGATCTTGCAAGTAGAAATGGTGGATCCGAGTGGATCCAAATGGAGTCAACTTTGAGGTGAATGTCCCGGAGACGTTGAGCTAGGAAACTTTGATTTCTTGCTTTGATGTCTAAGAGGCCTAAGCCCTCTACTTTAGGGAGACAGAGGTGTTTCCAAGCTACCAACGCCAAGGAGCTCCTCCGGACATCTCTAGTCCATAAAAAGTTTTGACAAATATTGATGATATGAGCAATAACCACAGCAGGTATAGGAAATTTAGATAGCCGAATTGGATTATGCCATAGAGAAGCGATCGTAATAGCTCCTACCTTTCCACGTAGGATAGGTGCTTACCCATCCAGCTCCGGATCGCGGATTCAAGATTGTGAAACGAGAGGAGCAAACCGACTAGCAAGCAAGCAATAAGAACTTAGAGGGACCCCAAGTATTTAAATAGGAAGGAGCCCTCACGAAACTAGTTTCATGGAGGATAGAGTTTTTCAAGTCGTCGCCCAACCCACCGAAGAAGAAAATCAAGGACTTGGCCACATTCATGGTCGGGCCGGATGTTCTCTCGAAGAGAGACGACTAGTTGGACGAGAATCCGGATAGAGGCTACATCTCCATGGCTAAATAGCAACATATCATCCATAAATGCAAGGTGGGTGATGGCATGGAACCCACATTTAGGGTGATAGTTGAAGCTGGAAGTCCCAGTGGCTACTCGAAGTAAACGGGAGAAATATTCCATGCAAACCACAAAAAGATAGGGCAAAAGTGGGTCTCCTTGCTCGACTATCGCTACGCCCGGGAAGAGCCCAAATAGGCCCCCATTAATCAAAATAGAATAGGAAGCTAACTCCACACATGCATAATCTAGTCAACAAATCTAATTGGGAAGCCCAACTGTAAGAGAAGTCATTTCAGGAAGCCCCACCGCACGAGTTGAAGGCCTTACGAAAATCAATTTTTAATAGGCACCTAAGAGAAGCTCTCTTTCGACCATGCATACGAAGCAACTCTTGAACCAAGCAAATATTGTCGAACATTTTCCTACCCCCCAGAAGGCGCTTTGCATAGGACTTACAAGGTCCAAAAGTACTAGGGAGAGCCTAGAGGAAATTATCTTGGATATCACCTTATAAACTACATTGCGGTAGGAATTCGATCCGTAGTCACTAAACAAAGAAGCATTGGCCATTTTAGGGACTAAAGCTATAACGAGTGGTCGACTCGTTTCAAGAGCTTCCCGAAACAAAAAAATCTTTAACCGCTACATAAAAATCACTTTCAATAATATCCCAAGCTCGCTTGAAGAAGAAAGAAGAGTAACCATTCGGACCCGGAGCTTTATCATTGTCTATGCTTGAACAATGTCTTCTTGATAACGACCTCCGTAACCGGAGCGAGGAGAAAGTCATGGCTGTCCATTTTTAACTAAGGCCCGCTAGCAACAATATTCGGGTCTAGGTGGACCGTATCCAAAGAGGTACCTAAGAGGTTATGATAGTAAGAGACAAACTCCTCTCCGACTTCTTTAATTAAGGTGGTAAGCTACCCATCTCTCCGTTGAAGAGCCGTAATGTGGTTGGCTTTGTGCTTTCGATTCATAAGGCCATGAAAGAAGCTAGTGCCTTTGTCACAATCTTTTAGGAACTTACACTTTAATTTCCGGCCAAAAAACATCTTTTTTGAAGCCTTGAGATTAACCAGATTTAATCGAAGCCTCTTCTCGATCTCACAAAGCTCCAAATTATCCCTATCATTCGACACGCTACCTAGATAACAAGCCGGTCAGATTCGGCTCTAGCAACTCTTTAGGAGATGTGGCTGAAATGGAGTGTATTCGAGCTGCTTGAGAGGCTATTTTAGGGACTTCGACTTTCGACAAAGGACATACATGGGGGTTCCTCCGATTCTAGCATCCCAACAATCGGCCATCTGTTTTGGGAAAATCAACGTGGGCAGCCCACATATTGAAGAATTTGACGCTCCGATTTCTAGAATGAACATGGGAGCCCAAGTCCACCAAAACGAAGCATGATTCGAAAAAGCACCCGAGGGGTCAAAATGAACATGAGCAAGCGGTCGTGTGGAGGACCAAAGAGGGTTAGCTAAGACTTGATCAATTTTAGTCCATACATCTACCCCATTCCAAGTGAAATGGCTCCCCGTGTAGTTAAGGTCGGTTAACCCAAGGTCCGAGCAACAAGTTTGAAAGTCGGTAGTCTCGTAGTTAGAGACAGTAGTATCCTTATGTTTATCGGCTTGTGAGATAACCGAGTTAAAGTCCCCCGGGGGAGCCAAGGACCAGTCGAGCGCCACCGACGAAGATCCTCCCATAACCCTCTTCTAGCAATGATGGAGTGTAACCCATAAACAAAAGTTGCATTAAAAGAAATTTGTTGTACAAGATCGGTGATCCGAACATTAAGGCCTTGAATAGACACTTTCAACATATCAACTATTACAATGTCGGGATTCCAAAAAGAGCAATACGGGTAGTGCCCGCAACCAAAGCATTGGACATAAAACTCCATTTCTTGAGTCAAAGTCTATGCATACCGACAAGCTTAGCTGAACTAAGCTTTGTTTCCACGAAGGCACAAACATCTACCCTCTTATTCTTTATGAGATGAACTCGCCTCATTCTACTTCGGAGGACTATTAAGCCCTCCGACATTCTAGCTAAAAATGATCATGGATGAGCTGAAGAGCTCGAGCCCCTTCGACTCCCACTTCGCCCGTCCCGACCTCTCGCTAGCGACTCGCCTTGGCATAAGTTCGCCGGCTATCGGTTCAACTTGTCCGATCGGGGGAGCCATATTTGAGGTCCCAATAGAACCCGGAACATTAAGACATTCAGCTTCTCCGTCGGTAACCTCCCCTCCTTTGTTAGTCCCGGATCGTTCTCCGATTCCCCTATCCATAATAGGTCCTACACGGACACCCTCCGGTCCGTCCGGAGTTCCATTCCCGTAAGCACCTTGATCCGAGTCCGCCCCCATCTTCCCGACCTTGTAGGCTAGCGGACCTTGCATTGTGACTACTCGGCCCACCCTTGTACTACTAGTGCTACCGTCCACCCCGAGCTTAACCTCGAGGGGCACGGAGATAGTGGCTAACCCCGGACCTATTTCGGATTCATTCATCACATGTTTACCTTTATTAGGAACCCCGCGTGAGTTTTTTTACCGAGTGACTATCTCCCACTCCTTGAAAGTATCGGTAACTTCTAGGAGCATGGAGTCGGCAGGCATTGGGACTTCAACAAGATGAGCATTAGCGGAAGAACGCAGACTCATCGAAACACACCGAGAGCTCTTTCTTTTTTTTTATTTAAATGTAAGTATATAAATCAAAGGTGAAACCAAGTTGGAGAACTAGCAAGAGTAACATATACAAGATTTACAAAAATTGGGAACGAGGCTCCCAAAGAAACTAAACCAGAGCTATATCCGGATGGTTGTTCAAGGACTCAAACTAGTAGAGATTCCAAGAAGAACCAAACAGGAAACTAATAGAAGCTAGCTGGAACCATGTACAAAAGCTCAACGACGATACAAAAACTTTATTGAGAAAGCAAAAATGAAAACTAACGAGTTTACAAAATCAGCTATGAGTATAGCGAGAAAAACGTAAACCGAGTAGAGTCGGCGGCATTGGGGTAGGCGAAACCCAAATTAGGAGGGTAGCCAAGTATCGCCTATTAGTAGAGCAAAAATAGAAATCGCAGGAGCAACGAGCGACGGACTAGCGGAGAGCCAACAGGGGGCTAAATAGAAGGCTTAACCATGCGATAGGACCAAAAACGAACCAAGAGACCTCTACAGTCGGCTAGGCTCGCCTAAGTAGGTGCTCGGTAAGCGCTAACGACAGAGGAAGCTAGACGGAACCAAAAGCAACCTCTCGGTTAGAGGTAGACGCCCAAGCCGGAGCTATACTTGGCTACCGGCAAAGAGAGGCTAGGCCTGCAGAGCAATAGCCAAGGAAGACTAACCGGACCCCTCTTGCCAAGAGTAGAAACCAATAAGAACGAAGCCATGGGCATGCAAATGGAGGGACTACTAACATACTTGAATAAAGAGCACCCCGAAAGCCGAAGAAAACTAGAAACAAGTGACCACCTAAGCAATTCACAAGACCCGGCGATACATGCGGATGGGGAAGCAAAAGACGCAGCCGGAGCAAGTAGCACATGGCGAAGCTTTTAGCGAGCGGTCGGATGCGGGAATGATCGAGCCGGAGCGACCATAGTAGAGAGCCATCCGTATAGGTAACAAAACCGGACGGAATCGAAAGCATCCTCTCGGATAGAGGCGGATGCCCAAGCTCGGATTACACTATGCGGACAAGCAAAGGAGGCTAGGCCCAACCTATGCCGTTGAAAGAGAAAGCTAAACACCGAGGGGAACCAACTCCGACGAAGCACATCTAAGCTGCTGAACAATAGCCAAGGAAATCCAAATGAGGACTACATTAGCCAAACCCCTCCAACCAAGAGCTAAAACACACAAGAACATAATCTAAGAGCGGGAATACGAGTACAAGTTAGCCGAGGCAAGCCCAAACACGAGCCCAAGTCGGAGTTAAGCGAGAGCTCTTTCTTGATTCTATGGGTGGTGGTGCATGGGCATTCTTAGTTGGTGGAGCGATTTTTCTAGTTAATTTCGTTAACGAAGGAGACCTCGGCCTGCTTAACAAGCTATGCGGAGGTGACCCGCCGCGGCCGGCTTCTTAAAGGGACTATGGCCTTTCGAGCTAAGGAAGTTTGAGGCAATAACGGGTTCGTGATGCCTTAGATGTTTTAGGCCGCACGTGTGCTACACCGATGTATTCAATGAGTCTATAGCCTTAGTCAATAGGCCCGGGTAATCTTTAAAATTTCATCATGATGGGGATAGACCATTTAATGTTGGTCTTCAATGAGGAATTCCTAGTAAGCGCGAGTCATCGGCTCGCGTTGACTACGTCCTCGCCCTTTATACACACCGCTCGTTGCTCCTACCAATTGAATGGTCCGATAAAGTGTTCGAATCGTGAAGACATAGGTGGTTCACCACCGGTGACGTCATAAAAAGTCCACCGAACCTTATCATTTAGAGGAAGGAGAAGTCGTAACAAGGTTTTCGTAGGTAAACCTGTGGAAGGATCATTGTCGAAACTTGCCCGGCATAACGACATGTGAACTTGTGACCGAGCATGCTAGGGCCACGGGGGCTCTTGCCCCCTGCGTCTCTTGGGGCCATGGAGGGGTGCATCCGCACCCAACGTAGCTCAAAAACAAATCGTAGTGCAAGAAGCACAAGGAACTAGAGTACGAAGAGCATGCCCCATCACCGAAGGATGCTCTAGGGGTGCGTCTCCAATTTGTGATAAGCTAAACGACTCTTAGAAATGGATATCTTGGCTCTTGCATCGATGAAGAATGTAGCAAAATACGATACTTGGTGTGAATTATAGAATCCCGTGAGCCATCAAATTTTTGAACGCAAGCTATACCCAAGGCCTCGTGGCCGAAGGCATGTCTCGCTTGGGTGTCACGAATCGTCTCCCCAAACCCCCTCGGCTAATGAGGGCGGGGGTGGATATTGGTCTCTTGTGTGTGTTTTCGCTCGTGGTTGGCCCAAAATTGAGTCATTGGCAATAGTCGCCTCGACGAACGATGGTTGAGAGAACCCTCGAAAGTGGTCATGCGCATGCCTTGTTGCACTTTGGGATATCCACGACCTCGAGCATCATCGGCTTTGCTAGGATGCTCTTGCTCGCGACCACGGGTAAGGCGGGACTACCCCGCCGAGTTTAAGCATATCAATAAGCAAAGGAAAAGAAACTTATAAGGATTTCCTTAGTAATGGCGAGCAAACTAGGAGGTGCCTAGCTTGAGAATCGAGCGCCCGTGGCATTTGAATTGTAGTCTAGAGAAGCGTTCTCGGTGATGGACCGGGCCCAAGTCCCCGGAAGGGGGCACCGGAGAGGGTGAGAGTCCCATCATGGCTAGACCCTGTTGCACCATGAGGCACTCGTATGCGAGTCAAGTCTGTTTGGGAATGCAGCCCCAATCGAGCGATAGAATTTCATCCAAGGCTAAATATAGGCTAGAGATCGATACCAAACAAGTACCATGAGGGAAAGATGAAAAGGACTTTGAAAAGAGAGTCAAAGAGTGCTTGAAATTTTTGGAGGAAAGTGGATGGGGGCCAGCGATACACCCCGGTCGAATGTGGAATGGTGCCGGTCGGTTCACGAGATCGGATCGGGGCGTGGATCGATACGAATTATAATGTGAAAGACACCTTCCGAGAAATTGATATCTCATAACAAGTCCAGACTTGAGACTATTGGTTACCCTCCAAAATAAATAGAGGATTTAACGGGATTGACATGGAGCCTAGAGGTGCGACCAAAAGTCCGAAGCTCGTTGAGCCAAACTCATAACCGAAGTTGTATCTCCACGAGCTTAAAAGCATAACATAATCAGCAAAAGCAATGTGTGTAATGCGGTGAGGCTCACATTTGGGGTGGAATGCGAAGTCGATAGAAGCTCGAAATTTGCTAGAGCATGCGGGAAAAATATTCCATGCATGCAATGAATAAGTAGGGGGAAAGGGGATCACCTTGTTGAATGCTCGCTTTACCTAGAAAAAACCCAAAGAGGTTACCATTAACCGCAATAGAGTACGAGGAGGACTCAACGCATGCCATAACCCGAGTGGATGAAGAGATTTGGGAAGCCAAGCCGCACCATAAGGTCGGGTAAGAAAGTCCACCGCACAAAGTCAAAAGCCTTCGAAAGTCAACCTTAAGGAGGTAGCGTGGTGAGGCTCGCTTACGCCCATACTCGTCGAAGAAGTTCCCGAAGAAGATGTATGTTATCCGACATCCGTCTACCCCCGAGAAGGCATTTTGTAAGGGACTCATAATTTCTTTCGAGCCCAAGCTAATCGAAGGAGAGAATCTTGGAGATCACCTTGTACACAACATTCCAAGCAAGAGATAGGCCAATAATCCGAGGGAGTAGGAGTATGTGTCGATTTGAGGACTAAGGTAATAACCGAATGATTAATCTATTTTAGGAGTTTCCTCGAAGTGAAGAAGTCTTTTACTTGCAGCACGAAATCAGCCCCAACAATACCCCAAGCTCTTTTGAAGAACAACGAAGTGAACCCATCCGACCCCGGGGCTTTGTCATTATCTATCCCAAACAAAGTCTCCTTAATGTGATCATTAGAGATAGGGGCAAGCAATATTTTAGAAATTATTGGTTCAAGACGAAGCCTCATATCTACCACCAAAGCATCGAGGGGAAGAGTGTCCCGAGAAGACCCAAGTAAATTCGATAGTAATCGACAAACACGGCCCCAACAGATCGACCGCCCGAGTGTGGCCTTGGATGGAGACAATGAAGTTGCGCTTGTGACGTTGGCTCATAAGGGTATGGAAGTAACGACTACCCTTATCACTCTCCTCAAGGAATTTGTATTTGAGCTTTTGGCCAAAGAACATCTTCTCCGCTAATTTTAGGCGAGCCAAGTTCGTTGCGAAAGACGCTCTTGCTCAAGAAGAGAGGGACTCGTCTCGATCAAGCTAGAGAGACTGCTTGGAGGTTGTCGAGATCGATAACGAAATGAGAGACCCGCTTATAAATATGACTAAAGTGAACCGAATTCGGAACTTTCGTAGGTCGTTTCAAAGCCTTCGACTTGTAGCACAACGGATACATCGGTCGCCCCTAGTTTGGAACTCGCCAGTTAAGCTCAACTATTGAGAGGAAGTTATCATGCCGAGCCCATACATTAAAAAACATGAAACATTTACGACCGGGAGGAGATGGCTGAACCGAGAGCTCTTTCTTGATTCTATGGGTGGTGGTGCATGGCCATTCTTAGTTGGTAAAGTGATTTGTCCGGTTAATTTTGTTAACGAATGA